GATCGAGCCCCACATCAGGCTCTCTGCTCAGCGGGGAGTCTGTTTCCTCCTTTCTCTCTCTCTCTCTGCCTGCCTCTCTGCTTGCTTGTGATCTCTGTCAAGTAAATAAATAAATAATCTTTTAAATAAATAAATAAATAAATAAATAAATTAGCATATAATGTATTATTTGCTCCAGGGGTACAGGTCTGTGAATCATCAGTCTTCCATAACTCACAGCACTCACCATAGCACAAACCCTCCCCAATGTCCATAACCCAGCCACCCTATCCCTCCCCATCCCCTGCCCCCCCCCAGGAACCCTCAGTTTGTTTCCTGAGATTAAGAGTCTCTTACGGTTTGTCTCCCTCCCCTGTCCCATCCGATTTCAAGCAGCAGCGATTCTTAACTGAAGGTTGTGGAATTCCTTGGATTGTCTAGCCCAGTAATTCCTGCCTGGTTGCATCAAAACCGGAATTCTGATGCGATAAATCTGGTCTTGTGTAAGTCACCTGTGAGGCCTGAATCCTCACAATCTTTTCTTCTTGAATATCTCCAGGGATTAGGAGCTCCCCATCTATAATGTGTCACATTCCGATTTTGGACAAACATTAGGAGAGTCTCTCTTGTATTGTGTTGAAATCTATCTTCCTGAAACTCTACACTTGGTGCTCGTTTGCCCCAATGGAGTGTCGCTGTCTTTGCCCTTGCCCGGATGGGAATCTTTCAGCTCTGTAAAAACTGATCATGTCTGCCCCCCACCCCTGTCCTGCCTCATGCTTTCTCCTGGATAAACCTCTCCTGTTCTCTTGCTGTACCCCACAGGAATCATCTTTAGGCCTAGTGAGTTTTGTTTATAATTGCATTGAAGTGCAGAGCACCAAATCAAACAGCCCCACGGCATGGACTGACCAATGGTTGGCGGCACTGCTCTCACCCTCCCTCTTGCCATTATTTCTTTTGATCTAGCCTGTGACCACTTGTAATTCAGTCAGTTTGCAGTTGGCGTAGGTTGAGCTTATGGATTAACCCAAAGCCCCCAGGTCTTTCTCACTCAATCCATGTCTGCTGTAAATCTAAGTAATTGGCTTTTATAATCAAGCCTGGCATTTGTCCTATCTCATGAGATTGTATCTTTTGGTTCCAAACCAATTCTAAGTAGGAAGCAATAGGCTCAGAAGAGGGAGCTGTAACAGCCATACTGGGGAATTAGGACATGGTTAGTTATTCACTGCTGTTTCCCAGTTCAGGGAGCAGCAACATGTTTAGAGAACAGCACAGACTGTCTGCATTTCTAACCAAGTCGTCACTGCTTCCATTCCCTCTGTATAGTGCCCCTGACATTGTGCTGAACATGTTGCCTTCATTATCTCCTTCAGTCCCCACAGCAGCCCAGAGCACAACCTGCTGTGAAATCAGGGTGTGCTCTGGTCATCTGGATACACCAGATTCATTCGAGAAAGCTTTTAAATTAAAGGAAATCTCAGATCTTAGCCCAGAGATTCTAATTCAGTAGGAATGAAGTAGAGCCAGGAAATGTCTTTTTCAAAAGTTTTCCCAGTAATCCAGTGCACCTGTTTGGGAGTAACTGTTTTAGTTAGTGGGTTATAGTTGCTTGGCTCTTGAACAGGACAGCTTGGGTCTCATTCATCTTCTCCCTGTAAGCGCCTACTGCAGCAGAAGCCCTCAGGGAAGATGGCGGAATCAAAGTTCAGATGCATAGTTAAGTGTCAGGAGAGTGGAAATGGTCCTTGTCCTGAGTCCCGAGCTTTCTGAAGGCCAGGCATGCAGCCTTCTCTGGGGCTCTGATGGCTAACCAGGGATAGGGCTCAGCCCAGGGTGACTTGGCTCACAAATGATCAGGCTGCCTGGTCAGGCAGAGATCCTGGGTGCTTCTGCCCTTCCTGGGAAATAATGGAAATAACTGCTGTACACGAGGATGCAGCTTAATGTTACCCAACCTTCAACTTGTTGTCATTCACCAAGAGCCAAGTTTTAAAAATGCTTTTGGATAAAGATGGCACCTTTTAAACAGCTGTGCAAGGATAATGTTAGAAGGGCATACTGAGGACTCAGATGGTCTCAACTTCCACTTGTCCCTGCATCCAGCAGCTTTACCTTCCACAGTGTGGACAGGAGACCTGTCCTGGAGTGTGGGGCAGGGAACTAACTTTCTTGGTGATGTGGGGCAGGCCTCAGACATGCCACCACCATTTTGACTAATTCTTATTTAGTAACAATGTCAGACCTGAAAGTGCCCTTATTTTAGATGGAGAAATTGGGGTCCTGAGAGAGACAGGACTTGCCCAGCATTTACAGTGAGCCAGACACTGAGCCCAGGGTTCTTCTACCCCAACATGATGCTGCACCAAAGCACCCAAGATAACTAATGGCGGAACAGAAACAGAGTCCCAGTGTCTTTTACTGCGCGTATTCAAACAACTGCCTCAGCACCGTTTATTGGGGAGTTAAAAATTTCCCCACTGATCTGCAATAGCACCTTTCCTAAACCAGTTTTCACACATGCAGGGGTCTACTGTCCCACTGGTCTGTTTGTCCATCACAGGGCCAGTATGGTGCTGGCTTCATTGCCACTGCTCTGTCACTATATCGTGGCATCCGGTAGAGGGGGGACTCCCACCTGTGTTGCATCAGATTTCAAAATCAACTTCTGTTAAAAAAAAAAAGTTGAGGGCGCCTGGGTGGCTCAGTGGGTTAAGCCGCTGCCTTCGGCTCAGGTCATGATCTCAGGGTCCTGGGATCGAGTCCCACATTGGGCTCTCTGCTCAGCAGGGAGCCTACTTCCCTCTCTCTCTCTCTGCCTGCCTCTCCGTCTACTTGTGATCTCTCTCTGTCAAATAAATAAATAAAAATCTTAAAAAAAAAAAAAAAAGACAGACCTCTCTTTAAAAAAAAAAAAAAAGTTGAGATCTGGACAAGAACTTTATAAATACACTTGTTGAGAAGGATATACTACCAAGTCTTCCTATCCTCCAGTAATAGTATATAGGTTTCCATTTACTTAGGCTTTACCACCTTTCAGCAAAGTTTAATAATTTTCTCACATACTAGGGTCATGAACATTTTTGATAGATTTAACTCCCAGTTACTTTTGGAGGTATTTTTTCTTATTACTATTATAAATAGTACTTTTTTTTCGATTTTTATTTTGCAGAATGTCATCGGTGTACCGAAATGGATTTGATTTCTGTATATTGATCTTAAATCCAGTACCTATTAATGCTTTTGTATTTTGTTAGTGGAAAATCACAATCCATGAAAATGAGTTTTCTTCCTTTTCGATACCTTCCCTTTATTTTTGTTGTTGTCTTAGGGCACTGGGTGGGACCTCAAGCACAAGGAAGAGTAGTGGTGATCAGGGGTATCCTCAGCTCACCCTGACCTTGACTGGACTACTTCACACATTTCATTTGCTCTACATTTTCTATAGATCTACTTTGTGAGGTGAGGGTAGTTCCTTTCTATTCCCAGTCTGCTCAGAGTTTCTATAGTTCTGTTGTTTTTGTTGTTGAATGAGTATTAAATTTTACTGAACACTTTTTCTGAACACTTGCATCTATTGATATCATCTAATTTTCCTTTAATCCCTTAATGATTATTTGGGTTCTTCCACCTCCTGAAAAATGAGAAAATAATCTAAAATATAAAGGAAACCTTGAGATCCTTTTATTGTGTCTTTGTGAGCTTCACACACACTGGCTGTAGCGTAAGAGACTAAAACCCAGGAAGGCTGCTTTATCAGGCTGCTTCCACTTATTTGCTTTCAGCCTGGGCAGTAGACTGGACCCCGGGTGTGACAGACTGGACAGACCTGCTGGCTGACGGCGGGCCAAAGAAGTTCTACTCTGTCACATGCAGGAAAGAGCAGGTCCGGGGCCAGGAACACAGGGAACCTAGAGGAAACACGATGTAGATGCCAGACTGGAGAACGGACAAGGTAGGGATCGCTTTACCACCCTTGGACACAGCCAGCTTTAACCTGAAATCTGAGGTAGTAGTGCTACTTTCTAGTGCCCCCCACAACCAGTCTGGAAGTGGGCATACTTTTTCCTAGTGGGCCTCTCAAAAAATGAAAGTAATCATTTTTACTTCCAAAAAATTCTGCAACACTGGTGAAATAAGGTGTCTCACAACAGGTTTTCCGAATGGTGGATTCACCAGTGTGAATGCTTGAGCATACCCTCACCATCTAACTAACTGCACCGAACAACTCTCTCTACTCTGCAGGGGATCCTCAGATCCCGGGAACCAGGCCCACGAGACTTACAGGGCCCTGACTCCTGTCTTCAGACCTCCACAGGGCTGTCCAGGGGCAGAACATGGAAGAGTGACCACAAAGGTGACAAACCAGGACTAGCAGGAACTTTAGGGAGCAAAGATGCTGACTTGGCAGAAGGAAGAACTTTCCTATTGACTCCCCTGGTGGGAGACGATTGCCCCATCACAGCAAATGGACAAAGACTTGATGACTGTCCAGCAGGAACTTCACAGAGCAGATTCATGCCAGTACTGGGCTGCTGCCTCTAAAGTCCCTGCTAGCCCTGGACTATGAAGTGACACCAGCTAGAAATGCCTGGGTTTGCTTGAGAGCTAAGGTGATCAATGTACTGTTTTGGCTCAGGACCATGGGGCTCATGGCATCGTTCCACAGGCCCAGCTGCTCTTTGCACTGTTGGCTTTGACACCTTAGGTCCGTTGGGTAAACCTACCTGCTCCCCAAGAGCTGGAGAGCCCTCAGAAGCTATGTGCTCCTGCATATTTTACAAACTGGATCCTCTACTGTGGGAATGTGCCAGGAAGCAACCAGAGACTTCCAACATGAAATTCTTATTTGTGGAGGGAGTTGCTGTTACCTGACTCTGCCTTCGTGCACCAGTGCAGTACAAACAGGGGCTTTTATTGGTGGGACTTGGGAAGCTGTGACACAGCCCAGCATGCAGCGGTGAGGGCTTGGATAACTTCCAGGAGACAAGGGATGAGGGGACTCGCCTCAGTGGGTGAGTTGTCCCTTCTCAGTTCTTAGAGGCAAGTGTGCAGGGAGAAGGTTCAGCACTTAACAAACTGGTGGGTGACCTCGTAGATTCCCACAGATTCCTGAGCCTTTTCATCATAGTCCGTCCAATCCTGTGGGGAAAAAATGGCCCTGTCAGCCTCATGAGATGGTTTAGGACAGTGGGGACTATGGCACTCTGGGACTTTAAAGGCCCAGTTCAGGCTCTTACTGAGACATTCATGAATATATATGACCTAGAACAGAGCTAGAGTGCATTCTGGGCAAATTCACTTAACTTCTCAGAGCCTCAGTTCTGTCCTCTATTAAAAAAAAGGGACAAAAACAGGTTGAATGTTAAAAGAAGCAAATGGGGAAACAGGTATAAATACTTAGCATCATGTCAGGCACATATAAGAGCTCAGTAAATTCCAGTTGTTGTTGTTATCAGGTGCTATGCAAACTGAAGGTTTCCATCCTCCTTTTGAAGCCTGACCACAAGGCTTATTTAAGGTGGTAACATGTTCAGTAATACAATTGATTTTCATTATTCATGGTAGTTATATTCTACAAAATCACCACAAACACTGAATTAGTGAACCATTGCTCCCAGGGGAAATACAGGGTTACGTTTTTAGAAGCCTCTGATCACATTTTCTTCAACCAATCAATATACAACTTTGTTTTGGGTAGGTTTCTGTTTAAAAACACCTTATATATAGTTGACTTATAGGCAACAGCACTAGAACTCATGCCTCCACAAAGCTTATCTAACATGCATTTTCTCCATTAGGCATATCCCAGCCTTCTCACTTATGGAACACTAGGTACCATTTTAGCACTATACTTGGGGCCATTTAAACACCAAAATCACCAACAAAAATAAGAAGGCAGAGTCAGCTTTCTGTTGATCTTTGTTCACCGAAAGGGTAGTTCCCACCAGGTTCCATACAGTGCCCCCACAAGGCCCCAAAGTCCTGTACCTTTTCCTGCAGATTAATATCACTGAAGACTGTCCCCGATTCCACACCCTCAGCAGCAAATCCAGCCTGGAGGTGACAGAAAGGCAGTGGTTAGTCTGGGGGAAAAGGGGCAGAGGCCTGGCCAGGGAACTGGCTCTTTTCAAACCACCTTTGGGATGGGAGGACAGAGATGCAGTGCGAGCACCTGTTCTGGAATCATGTACTACAGCGGTTCCTCTCAACTAGAGCCCTGGACCAGAGGCAGGAGGTGAAGGGTAAACCTTTCCACTACCCCTGAGCTCCCAAAAGACCTGGGGCATGTCATTCCCCTCTCTGGACCTTAGTTTTGTTTAGGAGACGGGGATGAGAATGCTGTTTTGTCTCCCTGCCTCACAGATTTGTCATGAGGTGAAACAGCTGCACAAATAAAGTGGGATGAGTGTGGGCTCTGGAGTCAGACCGGGGTTCAAATGACTGTTCCCATGCTTATTGTCACCCCGCACAAGCTGCAAAATCTTGAAAAAAAGTTTTCACTTGTCCAAACAATAGGATGAGTAACTTCACAGGGTTACTGTGAAGATTAAATGAAGTAATATGTAAACGTGACCAGCACAGTGCCCAATATACAGTAGGCACTTAATAAATAACAATTACTACCCTTAGGAGAAGTCCTAGTCCGCGGTCTCTGGATAAAGCAAAGTTCTATTATTCCTGTATGAGCTCCCCACAGATACAGGTTACGCACCTGGGGTTGGAAATCAACTGGTTCAAGGCCTCGGCATTCAAACTCTACAATTGTCTTGAACTTCTCATTGTCTTCAGCCTAGAAAAGAAGTGTGTTGACGGCGCAGGCGCCAGTGGGCCCTTGGAAAGCTCTCAGTGCTGCTGCCGTTCCTGCCAAGGGGGCCCTACAACCCGTTAGCCCAGATGGGACTCGAGAGCGACTCCTCCTCTTCTCGAAGAGGCCTGCACTGGGTACTGCTCCTCATGAGACCTGCCTGGACAGAGCTGCTACAGAAGAAAGACTGAGTACTAGAGTCGGCCTGCCTGGATATGATCTCAGACAGCTCTACCTCTCTTCCCAGCTAGGGCCCAAGATTGTCAGACTGGGCTGAGGTTCGCTGTGAAAATCTTAACCATGTGTAAAGTTCCTAGCTATAGTACCTGACACTATGCTCAATAAATGGCAGATAAAATTATCAAAATAAAAAAATGTGAACAAGAATGTTACGCTCTAAAGTCTCCAGATCTTCCCAATGGCCCGGGACACTTAACTGCAGCCTTTGACTAAACCTCTGCCATGTTGTGAGGCAGAAGGGTGACTTAAAAGCCTTTGAAATGGGGTTTTCACATGGAACAGGCACCTCTGAGGGGGCTGGTAGAACGAGGAAATTCAAGCCTCCCTGACCCATGGGCTCAGAGATACCAAGCACCACACCCACACATTCAATCTCATTCTGTCCTTCACTGTAAAATCATTTCCTACACACCAGTCATGTGCCGGCACAGAGGATGCACTCTCTGTCGGCTCTGGTTTGCTTTTTGTTTGCTGGTGTGTCTCATCTACTATACATTATTTACTTGAAAGCAAGTCCTTGTGACTTCTCTCTTTAACTTCAGAACAAAGCTTAGAATTTGGCATAAATCAGACATGTTTCAAAAATACTAAGTAAGGGGGGCCCCCTGGGTGACTCAGTTGGTTAAGTGTCTGACTTCAACTCAGGTCATGATCTTGGGGTCCTGGGACTGAGCCCTGCATTGGGCTGAGTGCCCAGTGGGGAGTCTGCTTCTCCCTCTTCCCTACCTTCCCCCTGCTCATGCTCTCTCATATAAATAAAATCTTTAAAAAAATAGTAAGTAATGGGTGAATACAAGTAACTACCCTTTAAACAAAGAGACTTAAAAGCACACACTCCCTCTCTCCCCTTTGGACTGATTGGTTACACAGTCATGTATAACTAACTAGCTAATGTCAATATCAAGGGTACCAGAGAAGGCTCACAAGTCCCCCAGTATAGAAAGGGCAAGTGCTCCCAGAGATGGAACCTGAGTGGAAGGGTTGGGCCAGAGGTACCCTGAGCTCCCACAGCCCAGTGCTTATTAGAGAAGACACTGTAATAGCCTGATTATGAATCTTCTGCCTACCAGGCACTCAGCCAGTGTATGGTGACAGAGTGAGTGAATGAGTAAACAAGTGAGTATATGAATAAATACCCCACAGCAAGTTGCTCTGGTACAGACAGAACTCTAGAACCCCAACCTCCTAGCTCCCAGCTTAGATTTAATCCCACCACCTGTCACCACAACAGGAAACTTACATTGTAAGATCTGATGGTGCTGCTCAAAATCTCTGAAATGTAAGAGAAGACAAAGGTGACTTGAGTCCATACGCTGCCCCTATCCTGGTGCCCATATGTGGCTCTGGGGAAGAGTCGGCTGCCACAGCCTGGGCATCTCAGGCCTGGGTCTACCCACAGTAACATGAGCCTGCTTTGTATCAGGAAGATGTAGCCCCATTTGGCAGAATCCAGGATTTGTGACCTGACCTACCGATGGAGTTTTCCCTCGCACATAGCTTGCACTTCTGGACCATGGAGGCGCTGCCACGACCTCCCTTCAGTGCCACACTGTCCTGGCAAGGGTAAACAGAATCTGTAGTCACACATTAATTAGACATGATCCCGTCTACCACTTACTAGATAGGTGAAGAGACCAAAACCCAAACGGAATGCCATCTGCTACGACAAGAATCCTGGGGAGCTTCCTGAGACTGAGAAAGGGACTCCCCTTGATTTTGAACTCTGCCTCACATTCCGAAGAAGCCCGTTCTTCCCAGTGTTGACTATACTAATGGCTGCCCTTCCAAACCACAAAAAGCAGGGTCCAAAGACCTGAGAGATCAGGGCCACTGGTTCCTTCCCCAAATCGGAGGAGAGGCCTATATGTGTTTGTATGTGGGCATGGTGGTAGGGGGAGTAGTTACCATCAGCCGAATATACTGCCACTTCTCTGAAATCTCACCACAGTTGCCACATTTCATCTTGGGGGAGGAAAAAGAAGATTAGTAAAGTAGTTTAGCTCAGTCGGGCAGACAGGGGAAGGGCAAGAAAGTGTGACGTAGGCAGGCTCAACCTATCTTCCCATCAACTACCGCACCTCATCCTTAGAACCCACCAAGGACATAACCAAAATTTCTCTCTGGGCAAAGAACAGGCCAGGGTTTCTCCTGCTGGTGTGCCCACCCTCCTCTAAGAAGTACCCTGTCTGGCTGGAAATTCAAGGCTCCTGTAGTACTGAAATGGTCTCAACAGCGCCAACCTCCACCCCTTCTTGGATCTGGAACGTCCCTTGTGCTCTCATAGGCCTTGTAGGTTCCTACTAAAAGTACTTATCACTGTTGTTACTCTATTTCTCTGTCTCCTCCGCTAGACTCTGTGCTTTTTGAAGTGGAAGAATCAATTTCTCAAACCCTGGTACTTGAGCTTCAAAATATTTGGTAGTAAAGGTGGCGAGAAAGCTTCCTAAAAGGAATAGAGCTACTGCCAGGATCTGAAGGATGCTGGGGTTTGGATGAGGAGGGAAACAGAGCAGAAGCTCCGTGATGTGGAAGAGTTAAGGGTGTCTGGAGACCAAGCCACCAGAGTACCAGATTCACCAGTATGGGGTGGGGAGGGATGGAGGAAGCCACGATCAAAACTAAAGGGATTTCACAATAAATAAAGCCTAATCAACTAAAACAGAAGGTGAAATCCCCCTCCTTACTAAACAATCCCAAGACCCCTTCAAGTAGTCTCTCGTTTACTGTTTTCAAAACATAAAATATTTCACGGAGGAAATCTCCGAGACGTTAGTAATTAAGAACTAACCAATACATTTAGAAAAGCGAACAAATTCTATTAAGGAAAATACCACTTAGCGGTTACACATGTCCATTCTTAATGGTTTGAGACAAAGCTGCCCTCGGAGTCGCACTTCGGCACGGGAAAGCTCTCTCTGGGCCCGGCCCCCTGGCGCCCCACCCCCTTCCGGATCCTCGCGGTGTCTACCGCCCCTCCATTCGCACCTTCAGGTACCACCGGAAGTCCTCACCCAAGGGGCGGAGGTTGGTGACATTCTCCAGCGTGGCTTTGAGCTGTAGTGCAATTTTCTGTGGAGGGAGTGCCAGAGCAAGTGCATGAACCGCGCCTGCGCATCCTACCGAGGCCCGGCCCTGCCCCTCCTAGATTCGAGCTCTGCCTCCCCACTCCTCAGCGCGAGCCCACTTCTCTCAGTCCCTCCTGGCACGAACTCCCGCCTCCCAGGTCCTCGCCACCTCCCCGTCCCTGCCCTGGCGGCACTTTGCCTGCGCCTCACCCCCATAGTGGCTCGGCTCGGCCCTGCCCGACCCGGGTTGGCGAAAGCTGCCGCCGCTACTTTCCGGCCTGTCGTAAACGTGGGCGCCGCCGGCGCACGGGGTGCGGACCTCCGGCGTGCGTCGGGCGGGGGAGAGGGCGGGGCGTTCACGCGCGGCTGGTTAGCGACCCGGGCTTGTATTTTTCTTTAAGTGGGCCTGTGGAGGTGTCCTGAGGGTGAAATTAGTGTTAGCTCAGATACTTGCTGAACGCCGATCTCGTGCAGGCACTATGCTAGTCTGAGGGATACCGTAGCAAACACAGTCCTTGCAGGAAAGCTCTGCCACGGTTTCCTCCTGCCCCTCAGTTCTTTCCTGACTCTTCACTACTCGTTCTTCTCTCTCCCAACAACTGCTTGGTCCCTGCTTGCCTTCTGAGGCTTCTTAGATCGCGTCGGTTCCGCCTGCCCGAGACCAGCTTCGCAGATTTGGGGGATGGGGTCCAGGGCACATCTGAGACCATAAGGAAGCTGTGTTTCAAGGAACGGCCTATTTGCGACAATTACAATTACAATATGAGGTTCTCACGGCCATTTAAAATTTGGAGTTACTATTCTTGTCTACTTTACCACCAGCTTAACTTCATTGCCCCAGATACCCTTCTATAGAGGGGAATGCACTGGAGTTAGGAACCCTGACATCTCTGTCCCAGATCCGGACCTAAGCTGCTACTATCTTTGAAGGAGGCAGCGTGTGTATAGGGGCGGGATTGCAGGGAACACTGGCCTAGGTGTCAAAAATGACACGTCCCAGTCTGGCCTGTCTTGTGGGATGTGAGTTTATCCTAATCACCTCCCCACAGATGAGATTTACCAAGCCCAGTTCCTTTCAGCACCCACAATCTGGTCAACCAGCAATTTGCCGAAGGAAGCAGTGCAATTTAGTTTAGCAGCAAGGAAAATTCCTACAGATCTACCTACTCAACAAATTCCCACACTGTCCAAACCAGCTAGGTCTCAGTTCCTAATGACTGTTGGTATTGATTTTAAGATGGATTATTAGAAAACTTCCTGAGGTATATATTGTACTAAAGCAAAATGTTATCCTCCATACTGAAATACCTACAGATGTATCTATAAAAGAGGACTTAAAAAAACCCCAACCTCAATTCTCTATCTCTATATAGAGATATAATATATATATATATATCTACCCAATACTCTCTCAATAAAGGTGGAGGGGGAAAAACACTTCACACCTCAAAATTTAGCAATACTTCATTAATATAAAATACCCAGTGCCCAAATTTCTGTAATGATGTCAATTTTGTCTTTTGAATCATGATCCAAATAGGGTCCAAACAGTACACTGATTATGTGTTTCTTAAATCTCCTTAAAAATTTTTTTTAAAATATTTTATTTATTTGACAGAAAAAGATCACAAGTGGGCAGAGAGGCAGGCAGAGAGAGAAAGGGGGAAGCAGGCTCCCCACTGAGCAGAGAGCCTGATGGAGGGCTGGTCCCAGAACCCTGGGATCATGACCTGAGCTTTAACCCACGGAGCCACCAGGCGCCCCTTAAATCACCTTTAATCTACCAGTTCCCACACCATCTCTGTTTATGTTTGCAATTTGTTTGTTGAAGAAGCCAGACCCTCTGCCTTGGATTTTCCTTTGGATATTGATTAGATTTCTATTGTATTTTCTTTCTCTTTTTTTAATCTATTGTATTTTCTAACTTTTCTCTCTATTCTCTTATTCCTGTAAATTGGTGGTTATAGCTACAGTGATTAATAGATTTTTGGCGATACTTCACATTGGATGTTAGTGTTTTAAAAAATATTGAGGAGAGTTCAAATGTTTAGGTCTTTATAAAATAACAAAAAAATGCATTTTGCTATATATTTATTAAAGACAGTCATTTATGGTTTATAAAAAAAAAATATTGCCCTGATATACACAAAGACTTCCTGATAATGGTAATTAAAAACAGGTACTCCCAACCCCCCTTGTGTCCACACCAGTTTTCAATCTAGATTGGCTTAATCTTGAAGTGTAATCCAATAAGACTGAAGACCAAACACTTCAGGTCCTGGACAAGATAATAAAATACTCGTAAGCCTTCTGGATCCCTATAATGCAAAAGGAAAAACATGTTTAAAGAGCTGGAAAAAAGTGGCAAAAACACAAAAACATTAACTCAGATTATTTACATAAAGGTATTTACAGAATTAAAACTTTAAAAACCACCAAGTGCCCATAACAAAGAAAAAGGCTATGTGTTATATATTAAACAGGGAAGACAGTTACACCCAGCATGTACTAAAAGTGAGCCGCAGGGGAGGGTGGGTGGCTCAGTCAGTTAAGGTTTAACTCAAGACCTCAGCTGAGACCAAGAGTCAGACCAGAGCCATCCGACTGAGCCATCCAGGCGCCCCCAGAGGTTACCAAATTGGAAGGACTCTTTGTAGCATAAAGACTCCTGTCTCAACTTTATAATTTTCCCTACTGACAACAAGAATTTTTAAGTTTGTATACAATTTTTTTTAAGATTTTATTTATTTGGGGGCACCTGGGTGGCTCAGGGGGTTGGGGCCTCTGCCTTCTGCTCAGGTTGTGATCCCAGCATCCTGGGATCGAGCCCCGCATTGGGCTCTCTGCTCGGCCGGGAGCCTGCTTCCCTTCCTCTCTCTCTGCCAGCCTCTCTGTCTACTTGTAATCTCTGTCAAATAAATAAATAAAATCTTAAAAAAAAAAAAGATTTTATTTGATTGACAGAGATCACAAGCACAAGATCACAAGATCTTAGGCAGAGAGGCAGGCAGGCAGAGTGGGGGAAGTAGGCTCCTCGCCCGGTAGAGAGCCAGATTTGGGGCTCAATCCCAGGACCTGAGATCATGACCTGAGCCAAAGGCAGAGGCCCAACCCACTGAGCCACCCAGGTGCCCCTTAAGTTTGTATTCTAAATAATTTCAAGTTTCACCACTGTCAGACTATAAGATGTGCTAGTGTGAATGGCCAACCCTGAAAAGCTGTTCAGATCAACCCAATGACTCTACAGTTTATCTCAAGCACCTGTTCTGGCATATTTCATTTTCTGTTCTGGCCAGGTTCTTATTTTGGCTACTCCTATGACATTACTCTGCATGTGTGTCACTAAGAAACTTTAACAGTGCCTAAATAAAACATCAAAAGCAACAGGACAAAGCCCTGGAGAATAATCTAAAGTTTCTCTCTAATGATGACAACAAAGTTGGCCCCTTCTTTTTTTTTTTATTTTTTTTTTAAGATTTATTCCTTTTAGAGAGAACAAGTGAGAGAGACCATTTATTTTTTAAATTTCTTTTCAGTGTTCCAGAATTCATTGTTTATGCACCACACCCAGTGTTCCATGCAATCCGTGCCTTCCGTAATACCCACCACCAGGCTCACCCAACCTCCCACTCCCCTCCCCTCCAAAACCCTCAGATTGTTTTTCAGAGCCCACAGTCTCTCACGGTTCATCTCCCCCTCCAATTTCCCCCAAATCCCTTCTCCTGGGAGAGAGATTCTTTTTTTTTTTTTAAGATTTTATTTATTTATTTAACAGAGATCACAAGTCACAAGTAGGCAGAGAGGCAGGCAGAGAGAGAGGGGAAAATAGGCTCCCTGCTGAGCAGAGAGCCTGGTGTGGGGCTCGATCCCAAGACCCTGAGATCATGACCTGAGCCAAAGGCAGAGGCTTAACCCACTGAGCCACCCAGGCGCCCCTGGGAGAAAGATTCTTAAAGCAGACTCTGCACTGAGTACAGAGTCTGACGTAGGACTTGATCTCATGACCTTGAGATCAAGACCTGAGCTGAAACCAAGAGTTGGATGCTTAACCGAGTTACCCAGGCATGCCTGAACCCTTCTGTTTTGTATTTGTACCAGATCTTACCATTATGGTCCCAATTTGGTTAAGGGTTTCCTATTGGTCTGCTTCAAAACAGACACATCTGGCTATAAGGGTCACACACACTTACTTGGATTGATTGACATCAATAAGAGAACCAATTTTTGATGTTGTGAAAGATATGTGTTCATCTCCAATGACAATTTCAAGCTCCTAGAAACATTTAAAAAAAACTAAGTCAAGCCAAGTTGGATTTTCCATCAACCACACAGAAGATATACCATCTGTCAAATCACACCAACTCTACAATATAAACAAGACCAGTCCACTCTACCCACTAACCTATACTGGCTCTAGAAACAAAAAGAGAAATTAAATATTGACTTAGTCCTTGAGTAGCTCATACTTTTATTAGAGGAAGATAGATGTGTTTGTGAGACTCTACCATTTCTGGGATTTGGAAGGATTTACAAGTTTTATATAGGCGTTTTCATTGTTAAGAAAGTGGAGTAAAAAAAAAAAGAAAACAAAAAAAAAGAAAGTGGAGTAACATGTATACATCTTGTGTTTGTGTTTTATAAATACCAAGAATCTAACCTTTCTGGGCAACATGGGACAAAGAGAAGTCTAGACCTTGGATTTGATCCCAGCTTTGTCACTACCACATACTTGCTGCTGCCTCGATTTCTAAAGAGTAATGCAAGTAGCACAAATCTTTAAAAAATTTCTATGGGGGTGCTCACCGTGTACCAGCTATTGTTCTTGGTGCTTGGGACAGATCGGCAAAATCAAAGGTCTGTGTCCTTGTAGAATTTACAATTTAGTGAGTCTCACTTCTTTTTTCTTCATTTTTTCCTATTTCTTTTTGATTTATAGTTTTCAATTATGAAAAGAATTCTAACAGAAAATATAGAAAACTATGAAACCAATGTTCTTAACATCCAGGTGTGAAAATGTTAATAGTTTGTCAGATTTTTTAAATAAATAAAATATTACACATACAAAGTTAGGTCCACCTCCTATTCCATTCTCCCTCCCGCATCCTGGAAGTTCAGGTGTATTCATTCCACTCATGTTTTAAGATTTGGTAGTATGTTTTAAAATTTTTACATAAATGATCATACTCTATGCATCCTTTTGCTTT